TAAAAATATATTCAGAAACAAACCTTTTGACTTGAGGACTTTAAGCTACAGAAGAGTTTAAACGCTTAAATACTAAATAATGACCGCAGGGTCAAGTTAAGGAATCAAACTAATGAATCGGAGCTATGCTAAGATTGACAGACCTCATTAAAATAGATAGTTAGGAGAGAAGCTCCATTACTGTTTTGTATGATCAAGAAGTATGGTGGACCAAACTACAATATTGAAGGATAATATAATCAGGTGGTGATAGGTTTATCACCAGGTATCTGTTCATTGGATCAAAGCCTAATACCAACACTAGAAATGTTACAATATTCCAAATCATCATACTATTTATTTCACTGAGATTGGTAAAAAAGCATATAGCAACAACCAGTGTAATACACTGGAGTAGTTTCATCGTTATATTTTAGGTGGCCTGCTGATATCTCATTTCCATAACTTCAGTAAAATGTATCTGTCCTTTAGTATTATGTATGCTTGCATCCGCATATTAGTGAAGAAAGCAAGCATTTGTCTAGTAGTTTCGTATATATATAAAGTAGTTTGACATCGATGAATAATAGTTCATGCTGACAACCTTAGATATTCCAATATTGATGAATACTGATAAATAAATCAGATTACACAAATGAGTGAAATTTAAGATCTACTTCCAAGTGTGATGACATAATTTTGAATGGTTTGGAGATATTTATTTATGTTACCCTTTATATAAAAATAATTTCTCCAAATTAATTTGGTAGTGATGCAATAGTGTTGGTGGAAAGTTGATAATCAAAGAAAAATTCACACTGCATGTGAGAAAATCATAACTTTCACCTGAAAGTAGAAGTTTTTGTATGATTGAAACAGTTTTTATATCTGGCTTTGAAATAAGGTTACCGTTCTGAAAACAAGATGATATTTAGTTTAACCGAAGAAGTTGTGTTAAAAAAATCTTTTTCGAGAATTAGTTTTCCTCCTTGGTTTTTAAGCTTCTATGTGAATTTAAATTATGTATATATGTATGTATATTACTGATATGATGAGCAGAAAAGTTCTAATGCAACAGAGCACTGTTATATGAAGATAAAGTACCTAGGAGTATCATTGAGTTTTAAATATAAAGTGTTCAAAGTTATCACCTATTCAATAGATGCACAACATTTATAAACTATTTTACTACAAGTCTAACTTTTAGCAGAGGTTTTGTGGCGTATTAGTCTATGGGAAGTTGACAAATATTGTAATAAGGAACTGTACTGCTTAAAAATTTACTAGATGCCAAAAATTGTTTGAATGCTTGTGTTTTGATAACTAGACAGACATTACAATTTTTTTAATGCTGTTCTTCAGTTGATCAACAAATGATATATGAGCTAGGTCAAAAACAGATGACAATGAGTCCTAGATATTGTTGACTAGATATGGAGCTTATGATGCACGTTCTTTCGTACACCAAACTCATCATCCAAGCGTACATATATCCCAGTGAGTGACTTATTGTCTCTAATATGAGACTCAGGTTTACATATTTACTACTTTGAAAAATAAAAACTAAATAAAATAAGTTATTAGGGAAGATTTTTAATCACTCATAATTAATTTTAGCTTTTAAAGTATACCTAAGTGAACTAATATACAACTGATAGGTGAAGGGATTTGTAAACTTATTACATAACTGATTAAACCCATCATCATTGTCCATAAAGGTAAGAAGTTCATAGGCTATCTGTAGCTGGCAGAGATGAGGTATCACCTTTTTTTTATCCCATTAATTTGTTTGTTGGATATGTTATACTACGAAAGAGTATTATTCAGTGAATGGAGTTTCAAATACAATTGATTTTTTTCAGGTTTGAAACTTGGTTTTTATAGTTTAAATTTTTTACATTCATTTATTGTAAGGGTTCTGAGTGATTCACGTTGCACGTGTACTCTTTAGACAGTCTAATAACGAGTAATGATTATGTAGTCAAATTATTAAACTCGGGTAATTAGTTTATAGGAACACAGAAACCTAGATAACAGATCGGCGGTAGTAGCTTATGTAGCGTATAAACAAATATGCTCTATGGTGGGATAAAGTCTGCCTCGTAAAATGTAACATGCTAGAGTGAAGAATGATAACAGAATCTTTATTTTTGGAAAATATGCATTCAAGATTATCTAGCACAGACATCATATATTGGATAAATTCTACTATCCCTACCATAAATGAATGAAAAGAATTAAAACTATAAAAAATACATTTCAAACTTATGGAGTTATATTTGATATAGTATTTCACGGTTTGACATATCCAGTGAAAGAATTGAAACGACATTTCATTCCATTACTGTAACAAATGTTTCTTAATATATTCATTTTGATTTTCTTTGTTTGTTACCAAGTTCATTTCATTTACATAACACATGATTTTAGTTAAATAGATAAATAATCTTCCTGAAGTGTAGAAGATAACAATATAAGTAACAAAGTAATAAAAGTAACCATAAAAAGTGATGAAGAATCATCTTAGTACTTTAATATATAATTAGTGCAACTATAATGTCCAGTGTTTTCCTTCATAAAATAGTGCGCTATCCCTTCTGTATCAAATGATAACCCATGTGGATATTGATAGTTCAAGATAAATGTTTATGTTTTACATGAGATATATTTACTTCGAAAAGTATCATGCGTTTCTCATGTTTAGCAGACAGTATTTGTCCTCACTAAATAAAATTTATATTTACAAGTGATTGAAGCTATTTTATTCTATTTTTTCAAAATAAAAATTGAGATAGGGTCCGAAAAAAATTCAGTGTATAATCAAACACTAACTTTCCAACTGTTTTTTTTTAGAAAATAAGTTTATTTGATAGCAATCAACAAGCAAATACAATGTGTTGATGGTAGGTGATTTATTTAAGTTAAGTTGCATTTCCCATTGATTGATTATGTTAGACTGAAATTACCAGTCCCTACTAACATGTTGGCTCCTAGTACGGACACTTCGACGACATCTGACATGATGAAATGATTGAAACCTTGGGGTTTGAAGCGATTGGTGTTGGGTTTGAGTCTAGGTGGGAACATCATTCATTGATATTGCAGTTACATCCAGATGATTAGTGCTAAACAGTACGAAATGCACAACCTAGATCCCACTGGTAGTTACCATCAACGAGGCAAGATGATAGATAATCGTCTTCTTGTTAATAATTCAGTAAGTATTTCAAGAAAGCAGCCTATTCGAAAGGAAGTTAGCATAACCCCTTTTTTTACTGTAGCTACGAAAGATACAAAAAGAAATCACTCTTTTTTCTTTACTCACTTCCTTATTCTTATTTTTTTTTTAACATTCAAACTTTCTTCATCCACCAATTTTAGCCTTCAGTTTTGATTTTCCGCCACTTCTTACTTACTCTACCAATATACTATGCATTTCAAATATCGCTTTGCTTTCTTATCTCTGCCACCCTTTCAGAAACTAGTCATCCAGTGGTGACTGATTAGTACAAGATTTAATGTAACTATGTAAAGACAATCAAACTTTAAAAATTACTAAAAAAGCTTTCCATGAATTTGTTTCTATAGTAGCATAAAAGTGGGCAACGAATCTTTTCTTATAGCAAATATATTCATTCCGACATCCATAAAACACAAAATAATTGAGCAAAGAATATTCTTTTATTCCTTAAAGATAGTTGTAGGAGTTTATTTTGAACTAGGTTGTAGCTAAACTAAAATAAAAGTTTGATTGTATAGAATTTAAGTTAGAGAAGAGAAAAGTAGAATAGTTCAAAATATAGGAGTGTATGCATTTGTCAAAAATTATCATATTCTTCCTAATCTGCGTAGGCTACTTTAAAATTCTTTGACCTTGTTTAATTTTTTTAAAGGATTTTCGGAGTTTTATATTCTAATGTAAAGGTCTTAGAATTTATCACTGTTGTAAGCAAAAATTATCTGAGAAAGCTTTGAGATACTGATTACTGTAATACTTCTATAAAAATGTGCGTGCTTTTTTCTTCATAAAAATTAAAAATTTGGATAGAATTTACTCGCTAAACAGTTTAGTCGTCATAACCCATCACCATCGTGTGCAAATAATAATAAATAAAGTAAATAAGTCATTAAAATATCATCTTATTTAAGAATAAATCTCTAAGTTATTATGCGGTGAGTTGTGGACATTTCTAGAATACATTGACGCAATGGTCAGTAGCTAGTATTCAACTTCGGTTCGTGGTGTAGTCAGGTTGTACTAATCACCGTACTGATTTTCATACGGAACTTTCGACCAGTGTGTTATCAGTTCCAGTCCTATCCCTCCTAAAAATATTTGTATAGTCAGTCATGAACAAATAATTTTTTTTTCCTTCACGTTCCCAGTGGAACATAAGGCTTCAAGCTGGAGGCTTGAAGTTTCTGTGGCAGTGTTTAATTTTTGTTTTACAGGATGGGGTTGCTAGCCTCATGCCCAACCTTTCCTCTTTACCAGCTTTATTTCTGGTTTAGCGAGGTAAAGGAGTGCGTCGGCCGGGGTTTGAACCCCGGACCATGTGCATGGTCGGCGAGCGTCCTGACCGCTATGCCACCGACGCACTACACATGATCTTAGCTCAGAGAGCCGAGAAGCGAACAAATAATTAATTTAGTTTATTCATTACCAAATACAAATTTCTGCACGTTGACTAGTTAGCTAGGATCAACTTAAACTACAGAGGATTAAGGAAAAACATTTTAAATAATTTGTAACTGAGGACTGGATTTTAGGATTATCAGCTATCAAAATAATTTATATTGTTATTCACCCACTGAAAAATGTATGCTTTTCAGCTTCTAGTGTTTTGAGTTTTTTGTGTGATGAGGATCCATAAGCTTGTTACTTGAAATAGGCTGAATTTCATAGTGTTATTCATTGGAGTTTATTCTTTAATTTTTAGAAATTTGTATGCTTTGACTACTCACTTTCTTCAAATAATGAACAAAAGTCTACTTACTGCTTATTTTTTTCTTCTATTTAGGAACTGGAACATTCGGTCGTGTCATTGTAGTTCACGATAAATGTTCGCAACAATATTATGCACTAAAAATACTAATCATTGAAGAATTGGTCAGATTAAAACAAGTGGAACATGTTAAAAACGAGAAATCTATATTAATGCAGTTGAATCACTCATTCATTGTAAAACTGTAAGTTGAAGTGTTGACTGTGTTCATTTCACTTTTCATATTTATATATCTTGTCATAAGAAGAAGAAGTAGTTGCAGTATACACTTAGGAATTTTCAAAAATCAATATATGAATTTTATATATATATATATATATATATATATATATATATATCCCAAAGTGACGTAGGGTGCTTGGATCTAGAATGTTGATAAAGACTTCAAATGGTGACTTATGTTCATAGTGAACAACAGCATGAAGATGGTATTGTACGATGTCTAAAAAATCAGGTAAATAAAAAAAAAGTATTTGATTTTATTGTCACCGAGATATGTGTTATACGTCTTTACGCTCAAGTGTTACATATCTTCTTGGCGTAATATTCCTTTTAGGTGAGTTCGTTTCTATGACTCGCGTTTATGATTTTATAGGAGACAGTGGTTGTGTCTTATTTACATATAATAGCCAACACATCTGAAATGGAAAGTCATCATAGTAGATAGGTGTATAAAGACTGTCGGATGGTGTACACAAAAACATTGACTCGGCTTCACTTTGTTCCATAGGTCAAGAAGGCAGGGTAAACTATTTCGTTTCCCAATAGAAATAATACGCGAGTTTGGTTGTACAAGTTGTTTTCTGAAAGCTTTCAGAAAGAGAAGCTTGAACAGACTCTTACCCCAGAGCATCTGTACAAGTCTTTGACATTTATTTTTGATGAATATGTAAGGAGCTTCAAGAAACGATACCTTTGCCTGTCTCAGCTACTTATCTTTAGCTGCTGTACGCATAACGGTTAGCCAAACAAATCAGCTGAAAAAAATATTTTTTTTTCACAGAAAGAACAAATTCACTGGAATATATACCAATTTTTCTTTAATTTTCACAGTAACATAGACAATCGTGTCAATGCGTTATTCAGTAATTTTAATCCTTCTCCTTTCTGTGATTTAGTCAGCCTCTGTTAATGTGAATTTCTGTAGACAAGAAACATTTTTAAAGCTGATTCATCAGAAATGTTTGTTTGTTTCAAGAATGATTAGAAAAAATGGGCATTAAATCATATTCAGTCTGCAGCTCCGTTTTTTTTATCCTAAGTAAAATGGCAGGGAAACCCACTGATAATAATGCGTAAAAGCCAACAACTCATTTCATTACTTTAGTAGAAGCCTCTAGTGTATGAAGAATTATGGTTTATAGTACCCTAATGTTTAGCGAAAACCATTGAACATTGGATTCAAAGTGCTACTGTATACTTTGAGACCAAAATGGTTTAGATATAATCAACTATGCCTATATCTCTCTTAATAAACGACAGCAACTAATATGTATTACACCAGGTGGAATATAGTTATCATGCCCATTTATGGATTAGGCTGATATTTATTTATTTTGCAGATAACTAATAAAGCAGTTTACAAAATAACAGTTTTTCACTGGAATAGTTTTTATTTAGGTCACCACTTATTAAATACAGAAGGTTTTTTCAATGTTTTCAATAATGCAAAAATGATTATTATTGATTTGAAGAAATACTAGATGGGTAGACAAATTCCAATACTCTTGACCTTGACACTAAAAAATAAAATGATTTGCCAAACGATGTAACTTGCGAGGGAACAAAAGTCATATTTTTGGCTAGTGTTTTCAAATAATTATAAGATCTTGCAAACAGCTGGCAGTGCTAAAGCAACTTTTACATTTCAAAGGAAGCTAATATTACTGCATTTATATTTTGATAAACCTTTTACTGGTGGTCACCAGTGAAGTTAGATAGTAAACTGATCTGTTATATTTCAGTTTGAATTCAATAAGTATTAAGTCAGTGGTCACTCAGGTTACGTGAAATTATCACCTGTTGGGTCTGAAGCTTTTTACACATTTTTGTCGAATTGCAGCAAGTTACGAATAAAACAAGTGAATAGAATTGTTGGAGTTTAGATAATCCAAAACATTTTTATCACTCATAATTTCCTGGTATTTAGGTAAATCCATAAATGAACTGAAGTTAAATGGAAACAGTGGTAAAATTTAGTGCCCTTTGTAGAATACGTGTTACTGGCATTGCCTACAGAAAGTTAATGCTTGCTTATATGTAAATAGTATAACTAGTCCAGTTAAAAGATTTGTACACAATTAACTCGCTTAAGACAGTTAATAATTCAAAGCTCGTGTAAATCTCGTGACCATTTAAAACCAGGAAACCTGTGCACAGCCATACGATACTTGTTTTTAGATCTTCCACGTTTTCAATTATTCTTTCAAATGCCGCTAAAATTGCACAGTTTAAATCTTCCGAATTCCATTTACCAGTCGCTGTCTCTCATTGTTATTGGCGAGTAATTATGCAATAATTCCAACTGATTGTCGGCATCGATGGGAGCTTATAATCAGAACTTCAGAAATCTATTTCTAAGTCGGTTATCAAAGGAAAGAAATATGTTTTTATTTATTTACAAAGTTCACAAGTTATATCTAGAATAGTTTTCATTAATTACAGAAACCAGCAAAGTTACACATTGGTAAATAGTATAAACAAAAGCCAGTAAATCAGCAGCCAGTCAGTAGATGAAAATCTGCTCCATAAAAAATTTTGCCGTCCCCGGCTTATTTTTACGTTTGATGCCTAGCTCACAGAAATTCTTAACTAAAAATCAAAACATCTGCCTAGAACTTTTCTTGTTGTATTGAATCACACGTGAATCACTGATATCGCTTGCTAAATACAAGGTATTATATGCATTGTTTTTCCGAAGCGTTTCACTTAAAGTGAGTTGAGGTTTTCGCTCATATAATGCCTTGACAAATTTATTGTCTATCTCGTGTTCGTGAGCCAATTACTCAACCATATAGAAGAAGGCAGTCCCAGTAGACATCTGCACATTTTAGTCATCTCAAAAGTCATAATTGGCTTGGAGTGCCTGTTTGAGTATCACTAAATGTTACGTACCATCAGTATTTACCTTCCATTGAATATCCAAGTGGTTCTTTTATTACTTTAATCCTTTGCGTCCCTAGTGGAACACAGGGCGTCAAGCTTTAAGTTTTGGAGTAGTGGTGATGTTTATTTTTTATGGGCTGGGGTTGCCAGCCTCATTCAGAACCTTCCCTTCTTTATTGGGCTTACTGCTAGCTAAACGAGGTTAAGGAGTGAGTCAGACAGTGATCGAAACTCGGACCAAATTTGCGGTTGTCGAGTATTCTACCGCTGAATCACTGACGCCGATCTTAAATTGATGAGAGACGCGATTGCACCCTTGATAACCACCCGTCACATGATATCCGAAAATGTCCAATGTTTAAATGTGTGTCAGGAGTTACACTCGGCTTTTATCTAGATAAAGCTGACGACTGATAAAGAGTTTTGTTCACACTAAGTGAAAAATAACGAAGTCTTAACTTTTCTAAAATTTGCAAATTGCAGTTAGTTGATAATAAAGTTATAAGTTCTTCCTAGAAGCATGTAGGAAAATAAATTTAATCACACTGTCACTTGTTGTAATCTGCACCTTGACTCACCTGGTATGACCTTGACATCTACACATGCAGTGTTAAACCATGTATGCCATTATATGCTTTGTACACAAATACCATTCCGTTCGTGTTTTATTGAATAAATAAAGAAACACTGACAGCAGTAGTATTTCACTGACTCTGGGCACCGAAGTATTGAGATCCCACCTATTCTTCATCCACCATGTTTTCTTGTGAAGTTGGACTAGAGTCAAACTTAAATGGATTTCCTTCCTCTGTTTCCTTGGCTGTGGTTTCGCCATACTACTATGAAGCCTCACGCCCAACTATCCCTCTTCCGCAGACTTGCTAAAGGCTAGTAAATTAGATGGGTTCTAGGTGTCAGTCAGCTGGGAATGGAATCTCGAACCACAAGCGTGTTTGGTGAGCGTTCTACTACCGATGAATTACAATACTCTAATACAATCGAGGTGACTTAACCATTTCTATTACTAGCTATTTTAAGTATCTACAAATTTAGTTACTTCTGTGGAAAAAGCTACATAGGGCGAACAACCAGACAGCTTAACAAACGCACTAATGAGCATCTTCCTTCATGGTTCGGAAAAGGCCAAATGAGATCTATAAGAAGTTCTATTTTGGCACATTTAATTGATAGCAGTCACCAATAGGACAGAAAAAGTGCCTTCAAAGTCACCCATCACATTCCACCGAGCCTTCCGAATGGAATTCGAACCCGCCTTTCACACTTAGCCGAAGCTATGGGTATTTGAGAGAACAATCCTAGTCTCTGCATACAAAAGAGGTTTATTCTACCTTTGTCTCTCCCTTGGCCTAGGTGAACTCTAATCAAAACCCTCCCACCCTTTCTTATTTGCCATTTCCTTCGTATTTATTTAAACTCTGATTGTCTGTCCGCTTAACCTTTAGTATGTTAAGTTAGTTAAAACGGAAAGGGTGACTTAGAAGTTAGGGGTAATATAAAGAGAGAGCAATCTTCATAATTAAGAAAGAAAAAGATTGAACCATAGCTTGATTTTCTAATCACATAAATGGCCGATCAGCCTGGAGAGCATATTATTTAACTTCATTGTAAGAAGGTAGTGTTTTTTACCTGTTACCACGATTTCATCAGTTGCAAATTTTTTGAATGTTAGTTTCTTTTCTCGGCTAAAACATTTTATTTCCATTGCAGTAAGACTTCCTTGATAAAAAAGAGAATTTATGAAAACTAAATCTCTTTTATACGGTTTAAAAAACAGTGGTTGTGCTCACCACTAAAATTGAGTGCAAAGGTCCAGTTAGCTACACTTAGTGAAAACTAATGAACACTTTGTAGTGTTAAAGTAGGAAATGAATTTCAGCCTGAGAAATATTCTGATTTGAAAATAAACTATTAGTAACAAAAATAATTCTTCTGGTCCGTAAATTTATAGTTTCATAAGTTCCCAGGAATATGAACAAGTTATTTTGCAGCATCTGAATTATATTACATAGTCTAATTGCTACGTTGGTTTATGAAAAGAAAACCTATCCGGAAAAGGAA